ACTGCCCCAGTTTAGATTCTGACTCCATCACTGACTGGGATGTAGGTACTGAGGGGTAGCAGCAGTGACTACATCAAAGGACTGTTGTGGGAAACAGGCTAATATGTGCAAAGCACTCAGCCTGGTGCACTTGGTAAACACTCATTATTGTTAGTTACTACATATGTCTTATATCCATGTTTCCTGAAGTGGGTCCCCAGCCTAGTTTCATAGGCAATATTTGGCATCATGATTCAGTATGCACATATACACTTATATAATAACAACACAAATGATGAACATCCATATATATAGTGCTTACTGAATATGGACCAAGTTGTGCACAGTCATAATTTAAACCCAGAGGTCCAATTTCTCTAGGGCTTGTAGCCACTATTCTCCACTGCCTTGTGGCCTTGTAGGTGATATACCTGGAGGAAACAAAAGTTTTATCTAACACTGGAAACCCTCACTAACAAGAATGCACAGAGATGATTTCATTCTATCATATATTCTGTTTCAAAAGAAAAATGCTGATCCTAACTTGTTAAATTGATTTCAAGACCTAAGACATGAAGTTTGAAAAATACTATGGTGTTGTATGAAATGTTTTGTTTTGTTTTTTAAGAAAATATCAACATAGATTTTTAAAAAGTTAAATATGCATTTCATTTCAGAAGTTCTACATTGTTACTGGATTTGTGGAGAACATTTCCTAAAGTTATTCCTAAAGTTATTCAAGCATCCCCATTACCTTGTGGGATGGACACTAATTTGGACAACTTCACTGTAGGGGGTTAATATCCTCAGGACAAAGACAATGTTAGGTTTATCTTCACCTACAATTTAATTAGTATATCCAAACACAAATGTCTAAATAAGTAACTGAGGGAGAGTTCCTCCCAGAGAAGGGGAACCCCCAGGGCCTTGAGGTCTGGCCTGGAGAGAGGTATATAGGTCCCTAAACTAGGAAAGGAAGGATCACTCATCCCAGAGTCATGCAGGGAACTGTCTTATAAAACACTAAATGTGTGTTTCTTGCCACAGCCAAAACAAGAGTTTAAATCAAAGCAAATTAGTTTAAAATTGAAACAACATAGTAGATGCTAAATCAAATCCACTTAATAGTTCTACTAAAGATAAGGGTAGGTTGTATTTTAAGTGGATTTATTAACCCCCCAGGCTGCGCTGGGCAAGGGGATTTGGGTTTGAAGCCCTAGGGAAAGAAACTAAGCAAGGGCCCAACAAAGAGAGGCCTTGTGGGAAACTTCACTGTAGGGGGTTAATATCCTCAGGACAGAGACAATGTTAGGTTTATCTTCACCTACAATTTAATTAGTCATGATTTAAACCCAGAGGTCCAATTTCTCTAGGGCTCGTAGCCTTCAGCTGCTCCTTGAGCCAGAGGTACCCCCGTCAGACTTTTCACAGAGCTTCGGTTACTGCATGTGTATGGCAGAGGGGAACAGTTCTGCATAACTTCCTACTTCCTACCTTTCTCCAAATCCCCACTCTCCACCTTGAAAAAAATGAAAAGTACAGAAACCATCTCTAAGAATACATGATCTATACTGTGCAGGAGAGCATACAATGCTGAAGTTCATGAACATACACATGGGGTCAAGCATCCAAACAGTTCTGGGTGATGCTTACTTTGTGGAAATTAAAAAGGTAAAGCTGTTTTTAGAATAGAATTGAACTTCAACATAAAGCACCTTCTTCAGAGTAAATGCAAGTGCTTCCTCATAAAACAGAATAACAGTCAAATCTTAATTCCCAGCATTATCAATGCCAATTTCTACTGCCTTGTAATTAATGGATAATTGCCATCAAGTGCTATCTCTTTAGGAAATGGGTAGAAGGATTTAGAGCTGTACTGTCCAGTATGATAGCCTCTAATCCTATGAATCTACTTAAATTAATTAAAGCTAAATAAAATTCAAAGTGCAGTTTCTCAATTGCACTAGCCACATTTCAAGTGTTCAGTAGTGGTTCATGGCTATCATATCTGACACACTATAGAACATTTCCATCACTGCCAAAAGTTCTGTTGACAGCACAGATCTAGAGAAGGCTATTTATAGATGTTAAAAAGGAAATTTCTCAGTTGATAAAAGAATTGCAAGTCCAATCTACCAGAGCTGGCTTGACTCAGAACAGTGTGGGGTTGAACTGAAGGTGACTGCCAAAGATTCCATTATTATCTCAAAATATCATCCCAACTATTCTTTCCAAAATCTTTTTGCATTAAGACTTTGCATTGCCACAAGTCATTTTTCAACATTCAAACAACATAGCAGAAAATATTTGGCAATAATGACACTTAAAAGTTCCAATAATATATATATATATATATATATATATATATATATATATATATATATATCAGCTTTGGAAATAAAAGTCTATAATTAAAGTAAGTAGGGACATACTTCTGTTTATGATAAGGAAAATGCAAATTGCATACCTGGGTCTAGTCCCTTTTGTTGATCTTTCATGAACTTAGAGCCAGCTTCCATAATACTTGAACTTTGTAGCATGTTTGGGTCACTTTAACACAAATCTCATTTGGGCTTCATAAGAACCTAATCATCACTATACTACTGACTCAGAATGCTATAGATTTCCTTAGGAAGGAGAAGACTAACAGGTTAAGTTATCTTGTCAGTATCTATTTTGCTAAACTGATTACTAAACTGATCTCAAATGGCTAAGATTGCAGGGGCCAACTAGCTATACTCCCTCCTGACTCCAGGCTGCCTTGCTAATCTGGCCACTGTACTGCAGAGATGTGAGCCACAGGGGAAACCAAGAGTGCAAAGTGCCCTTTCCTCTTGACAATCACAAAGCAGGTAAAGTAAGCCCGCCAAACCCTTGCAAGGTTGTTATAAACATGGTTATGGTAGTTCTTTAGCAAAGGCTAAACACAAAGTATTATTTTGTTCATAAAAAATTACTCCATAAGGAAAACTATCTCTATCCCACAGCAACTTGTAAAAGGCATTTAATGAGAAATATATTAATTAGGCAACTGCTATCAAGATAATGCAATGCTGATTTAAATAATCCAAACAGACTGCATTCAGCTAATGGCAGATTATAATAAACATGCATTTTTCAAATACTTTAATATGTTTGCTCAATGTCATAACATCTGTCAACTAGTCATTGTTAGCAAAACTTCTTTACCCTTTTATTTACCATATTCAGTTTGTGAACTTCCAACTTGGGGCACTTGCAAAATATGTATTATAAGCATGTAATAAATATAAATACAGAGCACATAATTAAAATTCCTATGCTTATGCCTTGAAGATTAAACTCACATTTCTAGTTCATTAAGAGATGACAACTATAGTTAATCTTGAAAACATGGTGGCTCTAGGTCACATATAAGAAAAAGTTTGGGACTTAACGCATGAGAACCAAGACTGTAGAATTCTTTGATCTGCAAACATCACAAATACAAACCTAATAATTTTTTTCTTGAAACAGAAAACTTTAAGTAGGTCAGCTTGTTAACTGCTACGATGGACTTTATACATTCACATTTGCTTAGCCTTTTGATGAACTGCAGCCCAGAATGGAGTCACAACCCTGCATTACTAAAATCTATCTTCAATTCAAGCAGAGAACTGAAGAAGCAGAAACTGATATTGCCCTTCAGGCTTTGTTATTGTAATAGAGCCAAGAACAGTTTTGTTCCGTTCTTTAACATGTCATTAGTATGCTTGCTTCCCTAACAGGAGCACGCATGTTAAGAAGCCAGAATGGGATCACTCAGGGAGAAGTGCAGTTCTCGTTCCACCTGGGCTACGTTATCACATTCTAAGTCACAATCCTGGCTCAGCCGTGAAATGATCTGGCCGGAATAAACCTGACCAAAAATATCAGTGAAGTGTTTGGGATATAATAAAGTGCTGAAGAGGTAGGAGTGGGAGGAGAGGAATAAATAGGGAGAAAAGGAATGTGAATTTAAAATGGAAAAACCTTCATCCTCCCTTTGATTCATTTAAAGACGGGAAACCACTAAACAAGGGCTCTAACGAAACATCCATCACTTTATTATTGCATTGGATAACCAAGGAGCCTCGGAAACCCACCCACCGCGGCCACCTGGAGAAACTGAAAATCCCATTTCTTCCCAAATGTGTGCGCCTAGGAAAGAGGAAAGAAAGCAAGACTGTGCTTTTCGAGTGAAGGGCGGTGCACAGGGCAAAGCAAGTTAGTGCCTCCTTCCCGATGCCCTGCTTCCCTTCCCGAGCCCGCCTGACTTGGCTAGCGGCGAAGTGAACGCAGAATGGCAGAGGGACCGGGAGGTCAAACTTAGGGTCGTTTTTCTCCAGGGGAGTCCACCCCATAACCGAGGGATGGGGCGCGGGGTGGAAACACCTGTCAAAGGGCCGGGCCGGGCCGGGGCCGCGGCCGGCGGGCGGCGCAGGGGCTCGGCGGACGGCACTGCGGTGCTGGGGACGCGGTGCGCCGTCTCCAGCGCTCAGGGCAAGCGGTGAAGAGCCAGCAGCGACACCGTCACTCGCTCGGGAGCCTGCGCCCGCGGAAACCAAGGGACGGCCCGCGCCCGCGGCGCTCTGGGGAGGGGTCCGGAGCCGAGAGGGGCCCCGCAGCCCGGCGGACCCGCCGCCCCAGTCCCGCTGCGGCTCCCGCCGCCCCCGGTCTCCGCCTCCCTGCTGGGCGCGGAACCGGGCCGGACGCCCCCTGGCTGCCAGCCGGCCCGGACGGAGGAGGGGGCGCCGCGCCTACCTGCTCCGGTGCGGCGGGGCCGCGGTCGCCTAGCGGGGCCGTGACCTGCGGCGACGGCGACGGCGGCAGCAGGCGCGGTGGGGAGGGCGCTTCCTTCAGGAAGGGGTGGGATCTGCCCGCCCGCGCGCTGGTCCCCTCCCGCCGCACCGCGGCCCGCCCCCGACTTATTCTGGGGTCCCCGCTGCTAGGCCTCCCGGGAGAACAGAGCCCGCCGGGTCTCGGGCTTAGACACCCCCCACCCCCGGGCCCCTCATAGTCACCCGGGGCTGGAGCCGGGTGTGGACGGTCGAACCTCTTCCTTCCAAAGCCTTTGTGGACGCGTTTGCCTGGCGCTCCTCACCCAACAAAAGGAAGGACAGAATCAGGGATCCTCCGCCTGGTGGTTATTTATTCCTGACCTGTTGTAACCTTCTGGCTGGTTCCCTTCTGTCCCCACACCTAGGGTTTTTGCATATAGCAACTAAAATTCATTTTCATGCTCACTGGCTGAATGTGGTTCTCCGACACTCAGTGCTCTCCCGCGGTTTTCTTTCATCCTATGGAACAAACAGGGCCAACTTCTGACCCTGTCGATGAACTGCGGCGGACTCAGGTCCACCCTCCCAGCGCCGGCTTGCTTTTTTCCTCGCGTGTTTCGTCCGAGTCCGTCATAAAACAGTATTCATGAGCATTTTAATAGCTTCCCCCACCCCAGACCCCAGCCTCCCAGTGGCACCATTCTAGCAGCAGCGTGGGTCAATGCCATTTTTATTACACGCCCATGGTTAACTTAGGATCCAAACGCAGCCTTAATGTCCTCCTTATCCAAACCTCCCCAGTCAGTCTGACCGCCTTGCTTTGGGGAGCTTTCAGACCATACCGATCTTTTAAACTGTTGCCTCTCAAAGCCTGTCTCCCCGATTCAACCTACTCAGATTCTCCTATTCGACATTCTTTTCCAGAACTCTCCTGTTCCCCAACGAGATTTGAGATTATTGTCTACGTGTATGCACATTGATTTCTTGTAACTGTTCTGTCCTAGCTGCTGCACTGTTACTTTCTCGAGATCAATTGGCCTTCTCCTGTTTTTTCCTTACCTTAATGAATATGACTATAACTTATCCAATTCAAACAGCAAAAACAAAAACTTAATCCTAGTCTAGTATCCGCTGAAAGTATAAACTAAATTTTGTGGGGGTTAATCCATGAGTATTTTCCTGAGGAGAGTAACTGACTTTTTCATCAGATTCTCAAAGTGGTCTATGAAATCTCCCAAAGTTTAGAATTGTTTGAGGCCCATCCCTGAATCCTGTCTCTAATGATACCCCTATTCACTGTCTTCCTGTGCCCCTCATTTCTTTCTAAGATGACTGAAAGAGCTTTTCAGCTAGACCTCCTTCCAATTAATTGTTTTAAAACCTCTAGATCCATCCAAAAAATTGGTAGTTCCTCTCAACTGTGTCTGAACGTCAGAATTACCAGTGGGGGCTTTAAAAAAATATATAAATGCCTAGGTCCACCTCAAATGAACTGAATCAGAGCTTGGTTATGGACCAGGTGGAGCCAGGACATGGGTATTTTGATGATGAAGCACACGTGATGTTTTAATGCTTATAACAGTCTTGTTATCCTGTTATTGGGAATAGGATCCCTAGTTTGTAAAATTACTTTTTTTTCCCTCTTCTCTGTGGAAGGACTGAGAATCCCTGCACCATGTTTAATTTACTTGAAATTTTTCATTTTAATTTTCACTTAGAGCCAAGTTTTTTGTTGTTGTTGTTGTTGTTGTTTGTTTGTTTGTTTTGTTTGAGCCACTTTTGTTAAGAAACTAACTTGAGTGTGTTTATGGACAGCAGACTCAGTGCCATTTATCAGCAGTACTAAATCACTATCACCTTCATCTCCAAAATATCCATCCAAATCAACCCCAAGAGTGAAATGAATTACATTCCTGACAGTGATATTGACTGCTTGAAACAGTATGTTAAAATGCTGGCCATAGAAAGTGTGGATTGTTGTAAGCAGATTCTGTTAATATTATGAAAGTTCTGCTAAATTATCTAGAGCTGGAGAGAACTGAAGATAAAATATAAGTTTAACTGTGATTTTACTTTTCTTTTATTGTTTTTGGTATCCCACTCATTAAAATCAGTTGTCCACCATGTATTCATTGTGACCTTAGATATTTTAAAATTGTGTATAAGTAAGATCAAAATACCATTTCAGAACTGGTTATCTTTAAAAAAAAAGTGCATAAGGATTCACCCCATACCTTTAAATGACCTATTAAGAGTGTTCCAAAATGCTTTAGGCTGTGAGGAAAGGGCACAGAGTTAAAGAATGAGCAAGAAAGAAACAAGACTTAAGACCTAGAGATGATGCCAGTCACAAATTTTGTGAGTGGATAGAAATTAATATTCAGGGACATGATTATTCTACAGGACCACAAGGAGCCATTGTGATTTCTACACCACACTACTCTATAAGTTGGCACACCCTTCCTCTGGTAACCAACACAAGGTTGCATCCATCTGAGTATGGTGTCTGTTTTTCTTATATAAGTGAAGTTGTTATGTAACTGAAATGACAAAAGAACATTTACGATTATATAGAAATTCTATATTCCTGTTCATTTTCTTTTTCTTGGGCAGTCAATTTGCTGTTGTTATTTAGGATTCAAATCACTTCCCTTATTCATTTGAACAAACAGACTTGAGAAGCACTGCTTAAGAGATTCTGGAAATCCCTGTTGCTGGTCAATTGCAAGGAACTCTGTTATAATAAAAGTCTCTGTATAACAAAGTTATTGCCAACCCTTATCCAATAACCAGTAATTTCAGTAATCTCTGATAAGCAACCAACCATACAAAGCTTATTGAAATGGCATTTTATCTTTACCAAAATCTACCTATTAAAAAAAAAAAAAACCTTGCAAGAGGCAATTGGACAAAGAATAAAAATACATTTGGTAACAGGATGCTCAATGGGAGCTACTATTTTCTCCCATTTTGACAGAGTCCCCAGGTAATAGTTGCCAACCATTCCCACATACCAAACAAGGTGCTGAATCACCATGTGTGTTCCCTTAAACTCTCACCTACCTTAAGGAATAAAGGGGTGGAAGTTGATGCTGACCAGGTTGCTGTGGCTTAGGGAAGGTGTCAGCAAAATCATCAAAGTCATCAGTGTTCTAAGAGCCCCTCCTCAGCACCGAGGGGGCTTTTCTCTCATCTGGTAAGAGAAACTTCAGGCAGACATCTTGGAGAGCTGGGTATGTGTCCGCTGCAATTTGGAGAACACTGTGGACTGGTGTCTGGCTCACGCCTGAGAAAGCAGAGTTGGCGAAAGTGGCCTGAACACCAAGTAGGGGCTGTGTGGAGGAAGTAATTTACTCCCCCAGGAGACAAATCTAAGTGTGACACAGTGTGGGGCTGACTTTGATCCTGCTCAAGATGACCACTTGGAAAGGCAGAGAGATCTCGAAGAAAGAGGTCAGAGTTTGCCGCCAGATCCCCAGAGTAGGGATAAGAATCTGAAGCCACCAGTCAGAGGCAATAAGAACTTGCCTGTGCAAGGGAATGAATGAGATGTACCCCAGCAGGAGCGGGGGTAGTGAATGGGGCTCTAACAAACCCAGAGAGGCACCCACAAGAAGAGGTGGAAGCATTTGCTATGAGCCAGGGAAGCCATGTCACCTAGAGCTATCCCAACCTTTCTACTTCCTTAGCTCTCTCTTCCCCCCGCCCCTCCATCCTACAAAAGTGAGGGTAATGGAGGGGAGAAGAGCCAGACTGGAAGCAATACAGTGCCTGCCATCACCCCCTTTTCCCACTGAAATTTGGAGGGCTTTTTGATTCTGTGTGTTATTACACTATACCAAAAATATTAATGACTGAAATAAGATTGTATTTTTGGCTGATAGTGACCTGAGGCCTTTTTATTACTTGAAAGTTACTTGTAGAGCCTATGCGTTCATTCATCCAAGTGGCAGGAAAACAACCAGCCCCACAGAGCAGGTTGGAACAGGGCTGGTGGGAGAGAGCTAAAGCTGTGTCATGTTTATACCATGGGTCCTACTGGGTCAGTGTATCGGCTCTACAGCAATCCATATCAAACCTCTGAGGATGTCTCTTCTGCCATTTTACCTGAATTAAGTGAAATGTGCCAAGAAATCCCTTTTGTGAGTGTATATAAATTATGATTCAAGCTTTCCCATAAGAAAGTTAGCATTAAGGATACAGGATTAAAGAGCTGGGATACTCAATGTTGGTTTAACCTTCTATCATAGCTGTCTGCTGAGGTTTTCTCATCTTTAAAGGGCTCAGATTATATGATTGTCAAGGTCTCCTTCGGTCAGAAAATTCTATTTTCAAAAGGCTACAGCATGCCATAGATCAAGGACCAATTTTCCAGGCTGTGCTCCACAGGGCAAGCAGCCCTCACATCAGCATATCAGGCGTGGGAGAGGAGCAATGGTTTGGAGTGATAAGGAAGAAGCATTTTCAAAACGAGGTACTGACAAGTACCAAAATGCCTTCCTTTGGAGGCGACTTGTGGCTAAGGGTGATGTGATTGCCTTGGCGACAGTTTCCACATTAGGTACTTGGCGACTGTGAACTGGGAATCCCCAAGCACTTTTCCTGTATTCTCTTGTGTGTTAGGTATTATCACTTTCACTCTCCTCCTCCCCCGGAAATCAGAATTACAAAGCAGTCTGAGACTGGTGTTCCAGGGGGGAAAACCCTCAAATAAAGACCAGATTCCATGTTCTAAAACCCACTATAGCTCCATTTTTTTTTCCATGTTAACTAAGCGACTGTTGTTTGCTACAGACTAATCCAAAAGAGTATGAACAGTTTTGATTTCAATCAATCCCTTCTTTGGACCTTTTTGCCAAAGATGCATTAAGTTTATGGAAGATATCTCTTATTTATTTGATTTAAAAACACCTTCTAAATGGGAGAGCTCAAGATTGATCATTTTTAGGGTATAGTATTCTTTTCATCAGAAATGGCTGATTTTGAGGAATTTAGGTGGTTCTTATTCAGTCTGGAAGTTCTAAACCAAGCTTCAGCCCTATAGTTTTATTGCCGCACTCTGTTGTCTGGCACGCAGTCTCTATCTACCCTTCGAACTCAAGAGTTAACACCAGACAGAGTATTGAGCCTTCTTGGATTCTGCTACGCAGAACAGCTAGTGTTCCGTAGGTTGGTGCCCTTTCTTCACTAATTGCTAAATGTCACCCCTGGTTGGAGGCTGTTTGAAAACATGCCCCACTGACTGGGGATTGAACCCAGGTCCTCACATGTGCTAGGCAAGCCCTCTATCATGAGCTATACCCGCCAGCCCACTGACATATCTTTTTGTCCTCCACAATCCTCTATCTTTGCCCCTCCCTCTCTCCTCCCACCTTTAAAAAAATGAAGGTCCCCCACTTCATGCCTAAATCTACCAGTTCTTATTCTTTATCCTG